GCTGATGCTGTAACTCTTCTTCGAGTGAGTTCATAGAAGAGGATGAGAGGATGAGGAAGGAAAGGAGGAGGAGAAGGTAGAGGAGCTTCGGCATGGCTGAGGAGAGGGGAAGAGTAGAATGTAAAGTTGAAAGGTGATAAGACGCAACAGAGAGGAAATACTGAAATAGTGGACTGGACATGTTTTTAATGAGGTTTTTAAATTGAAGGCAGAAGGTGAGGAAAGGGAGCATGTGAGGTGCCGACAAGCGGGCACGCTGCGCGAGGTTTTTTATGACCAAGAGAGAAAATGATGTGATTATGGGGATGCGTGTGATTATGGGGATGCGTACTCTGCACTAAAAAAAAAAAAAATTTTTTTTTTTGGAGAAAAAAAAAAAAATAAAAAAAAAAAAAAAAAAAAAAAAAAAAAACTCTTTTTGGTGCTGTTAGGGTTATGTTAAGATGTTCTCTGTTAGGGTTCCATATGTGCCGCTCTTCTCCTTACCAACCGTACCCTGCAAAACCCAATTGCTCCTATTGATACACCCCACCTCATGGATCAAGCTTCATTTCTCCTCTTCATTCTTCTCCATCAAACCACCTATTGTTCTCCCTTTCTTTCATTCCTTTTACAGAGAAGAACATCGTTTTTCTCAGATTATAAAGTTGATGAAGGCAGTGAAAAAATGGAGGTTGGCGCTTGTTGGTTTTGCAATTGGGGAAGAGACCATTTTATGATGATTTGCTCCGAATGATTAGTTATTTCTGGTCTCTAAAAGGTAGAGAAAAACAAGAAAAATAAATGAATTTTTTTTCATTAAGTGAAAAACAGGTATAAAATCGAAAGAGTGGGAAGTTCTGCTGAATAATCGGACGAAGCGAAATGACTTCATTGATACCATATCAGAGAATGGATAAGGGAAATAAAAATAAGAAAAATAAGTGGTTTTCTTCATCAACCAAAAAACATGTAAAAACTGAATATATTACAATGCCTAAAATAACGGAAGGAGTAGGAAGTTCTAGTCAATACTATTTAATAATAATGTGTGTGTGTGATATTAGATAATTCTTAGATGCCCCCTTCCTTAAAGTGAAAGGACCTTCTTTCCTAAATCCACTCTCCCTTTGGCTTTTCATACTTTTATTCCTCCTACAAATGAGGAAATCATTAATTCAAGCCCCCCTTTACCAAACCTCGCCCTCTATGCACCATCGTAGGTGATGCCAAAGTAGCAAATAACTATTATCTTTAAGCCCCCCTCCACCTCTACTGTCATCCCCTCTCCCCCACCAGTCCATCCTCTGACCCAAGCAAGTCTAAGGCAGCCTCCATCCTTGACTCCCGACCTTAGCTTGCCAACCCTCTTCCCTCTACTACTAAGCATCGACTTGACCTCACTCCAATTGCACCTCCCCCCTCTGTACCCCCTCTTACTCCACCTCAGACCCTAATCCTCTCAATAACATCCCTTCCCAAGTCAACCCTAACACCCTCTTCTCTAACAACTCTTTGCCCACCCCCTCCAATTCAAAAAAGACAGACCCAAAGGCAAGAACTCTCTCCCTCAACAATAACATACGTATTTTTCTAAAATATTCACATGGATTGTTCAAAGCCTAATTGATGATTCTCTTGTCAATGATTGTAGAAATATTTTCAAAGATTTTAATTCAGGTGTTATTGGCTTGCTTGAAACCAAATATGCTCCCCTCTGCTCTCTAACACCATCTATCTTCAACATTTCAAGTTTTTTACATTTGAAAACTCTACCAACATTTTTATGTATGTGAAAAATGGTTGTATTTGGCTTAAATAGAATTTAGATATTATCTCTTTCAATCCTCTTCAAAGATGTGCTAAAAAAAGATCTTTATTTTCAAAAGAAATATTCAATTTCAAGCGACTTTCATTTATATTGACAATTGTGCTATCAAAAGGAAATGTCTTTGGCTATCTTGTATTGATCTTTCTATGTATATGAGAGCCTGGATCATTGTTGGTGACTTCAATTGCATTAGAATTTTTAATGACAAGTTTGGTGGCTCTATGCCTCTCCCTCTAAACTAATAGACTTTAACACATGCATTTTTAACATTACTCTCTTTTAATTACCCAACACTAGTTATTTATATAATTGATACAATAACCAAATTCAAAGTCCCATCAAATGCTTGTTGGATTGTTCTCTTTGCAACGTTACTTAGATGAATGCCTTTCCCCAACCTCACATTAAAATCCTATAGCCCCTCAATGTTGACCACTCCCCTATTTTGATTCACTTGAGGTACAATCATAACTTTTCTTATATATTCCTCCAAAAAAGCTATTGGAGTCATTCACCTAACTTTCCAAAAATTATCTACAATGCTTGGTCTATATGTGTTAAAGGTGATCCCAAGTTTTCTCTCCATAACAAACTTATTAATGTAAAGAGGGCCCTTAGGAATATCAAATGAGGTTCTTCTACTATCTTTTTAATTCCAAATCTCAACTCAAGCAACATCAACAAAACATTTTTTTATTGATAAGTAACCTTTAAGAAATGATCTTCTTTCCGAGGCTTTGGTTATTAAAAAAATCACTTATTGAGGCTACTACTTGTGAAAGTGCTTGGATTAAACAAAGAAACAAATGTGTCTGGATTTCCGGGGCGGGGGGGGTGTGGGTGGGGGGTGGTGTTAAATTCCTCTACCAAAGGATTAAAATCAGAAGTGATAGAATTTATATTTGGGAGCTCTTGATCAATAACTCTTGCGTTCATTCTCAAGATAAGATTCTTGATGAGACTATCTCTCACCTCTCTTCTCTACTTAATGCTTCTCATATTCCTTCTTGTGAGTACATTCCTATTGGGCACATCCTCAATATTAATGAACAATCCTTACTTATACATGATTTTGATAAAGCTCCTGGCCTTGACGACTTTACTTCCAAATTCTTCAGGATACATGACATGCTACTTAGTACTCTTGCATATTGACCATTAAACATTTTTTTCTCTTCTTAGATCTTGCCTAACTAAGCCAAAATTACTTCCATAACTCTTATCCCTAGGAGATCTTATGTTGAATCTTTCAATGACTTTTGGCCCATCTCTCTTGGCATTACATTATACGAGGTGCCAAATTGATTACGAATAGACTTAAGCTAGTTCTTTCTAGCTTAACACATCCATCCCAGTTTTCTTTTATATATGAAATAGACATTGTAGATAACATTAATTTGGCCAATGAGCTACTTCATTGATTCTACTTTTTGGCTCATTTCTAAATAAATTTATTCCAAAATTGACCTTATGAAAGTCTTTGATAAACTGAATTATTCTTTTATTTATGATAGATTGGTCAGATTGGGTTTTCCTCATATTTTCATTGGATGTGTTAATGCATGTACTAATAATATTCCCTTTTTGTTATCATTAATGGTGAGCTTAAAGGGATTTTTCAATCTACTTCTAGTTCGAGACAAGGATGCCCTCTCTCACCCTATTTATTTACAATTTGTATGGCTCCTTTTTTAAGAACACTATATTCTAGTGGACAAAGCTCAACTCATCTTTTTTATGCTTATGATATTTTAGTTTTTGGGAATACTAGCTATCACTCAGTTAATTCTCTTGCAAATGTCATGTCTATTTTTCAATGAGTCACTACTCTCTCTACCAACCTTACGAAATCAACATTATGCTTTATCTAAATATGTGGATGGTAATGTTGCGATCCAAATTTATAGTATCTTGGGCATTTCTTTTAAGCCCCTCCCATGGAATTATCTTGGTATGCCCATAATCACTCTAACTTGAAAGGTCTTGATTCTCACAAGCTTCTTGATATACTCATGCATTGATTGAGTGGTTTGAAACAAATGCTAATATCGTTGCTGGAAGATTTCAGTTAGTCAAATATACCATTTGGAGTTTCATATACAATTGGTTTAGATCAACTGTTTTTCTTGAAGGCTTAAGGAAGGAAATCTACTCCACTATCAATAATTTTCTCCATCATAATGATATTGAGAATAAAATGCATACATTTTTTTGGAGCACTGCCGCCAAGCCTAAGCATTGCCCTTCTTAATCTTAATAAAATTAATATTATGTGCAAAGTAAAAACTATTTAGAGGCATTATAATGCTAATTCCTTTTTATATTTTTGGCACCAAGCTCATTATGGTTCCCTTTGGTGTAAACCTAAAAGCATCTCCACCTTCTGGAAAGCTCTTATACAAATTGGCAAAAGAATTAAGGATAAGATTTATCTTCAGATCAACAACTCCAGTAGATTGTTTTTTTCTTTGATACATGGCTCCATGATAAGTCCCTCCATGATATATATGGTAATCAAGACCTCTTTTAGTTTATCTATCCTCCAAAAACCAATGTTCTTGAGGTTATTACAAATGATAAGTGAACTCTTCCTATGACCAGTCACATTTCTCCTCAATGTGCCTCACTTATTGCTAATATTTTAATGAAGGACTTGTGTTTGACTTAACTTACATATTCTTGTTCTTGTTCGCCTCATGTTTGACTCAAAGTTTGCACTTTTAAATTAATATGAAAAATAAATGTAGGTGCTGGATTTGAGGTAAAATAAGTTGCACACATTCAAACAAAGATTTGTTCATGTTCGTCTCATTTACTTAACGGGTGATTCCATTTAGGGTCTGTTTGGGGCAGTTGTTGATTATTTATAATCTGTTGATAAGCAAATTATTCTGATAATCTACAGATTATCAAAATAAGCTGGTTTGCTGTTTGGGGCAGCTTATTCATAACAGCTTACTGAGAGCTGTTGTTGGATAAATGACTATTCTACCCCTATTTGGTTAAACTGTTTGCAACAGAACTGTTTATAAAAAATATTAGATAAAACCACGAGAGATTAATGTAATTCGGTCAGTGCCCTACATCCACAGAAGGAAACCCACAAAAATTTTATTAACCAAATATGAAAGATTACATATCTATGACTGAAAAATATGAACTGAAAAACAGATTTCCATAGCACTATAATTCTCACATAGCACTATAATTCTCTCAAATGTCAACCAAACTACTTCCAAGCAGTGAAATTCAAATCCGAAATGTATTCACGAGCAAACAGAGACGGCAGGAATTTCATCATCATCACAAAGCATAGGAAAGGTATTAATGGCTAAAGAAAACAGGAACCTGCACATACGTAAGAGAAAGCACGGAACAAGCTAGTCATCGGATGGGGTGAAAGAGATGAGATCGTGGCTGGGTTCAGGGATCCAAGTGCGGGCGACAGCAATAGCATCAAAGGTAAGGTGGTGGTTGTCATGAAAGACCACCGCGGAGATAGGGAAATGATACTTGATGCCAGAGAACACCTGGCGTCGGGCGCTCAGCATGTTTAAGAAGGCAATGGGGGCAATCCCGGGGCCTCGGAGTCGGCGATTGTATTCATCAATGGAGTAGCACCCTAGATCTCGTACTTCTAGATTCGAAGCAGCGTCGGGTATATTAGTCCATCCTCCAACCCTTTCCCCCATCCACGGACGCTGCCGAGCTGGTAGGCCAATGATGTGGAGAAAACAATGGCGGCGAGGATGAGGGAGAGTAGAGAGATCGAGGGAATGGAGTTGTGCAGTGATAGTGAGGAAGTAGCCATGGATTGAGAGGGCGAGGGCGAGGAGCAAAAGAGAGATCGGGAGGGCGAGGGCGAGAAGGGCACCTCCAGAATTCTTTACCCTAACACGATGAGAATACTCAGGACGCGGCCTCCATCCTGCTTCGACAGATATTAAGGAATTCCATAATCGCGATTCGAAGCGGAGCCTGCACCATAGCTGTCCCAAATGGGTCCTCAGACATGAGCCGAATAAGAACTATTCATCAATAATAAATTTTTTTCACAGCCATAAATTAAAATAGTACTATTTTTTATGTGAAATAAAAGAATTTAAACGTTTAAACATTAAAAATAAATTCTAAATGTTTATATATATAAATTCCGGGGTGTGTATGCAAAAACCCTTTTATTTTATTTTAAATATAATTTACACCTCCAACGTCATGAATTCGAAACACTGAAACTGTCTCCTTTTGCTTCGCTCCACTTCCCGAACGGCCGCAAATCAAACAGAAACCTCTCTGCTTTTACCACTCTCTTCCTCTCCACATCTGCGAGGTTTGGAACATTGGATTTCTTTTCTCCTGGTTTAACATGCCCTGGCGATTCTCTTCGCTTGGGCCGCGCTTCCAGTTGTGGTTGCGAGATTACGACCGCCTCCAATGGCATGCGATTCTTCTCTTATATGTTCAGGTTGGCTCACACTGCCCTCTTCCAAAAGCAAAGACCTAACAGCCTTTTCAAAAGGACATTTTTTTTTAATTACAATTCCATCAAATCAGCTAGCACTCGTGTATTTTCTTAAAGCGAACTTGTTTAATTAGTGTTCTATGTAATGATAATGCGTTTGCTTGGTTGTTTGTTGGGTTATTTAGATTGGTTGCTCGATGGTTGGATCATTGGGAGCATTGTTCAATGGTATCCTATTGGTGAACATGGCGGTGGCACTCTTTGTCCTCGTAGCTATAGCGTGTAGCAGCCAAATGCTAGCGAGGACTTATGCCGTGCTACTTACCTGTATGATTTTTCTTGATGGTGCTTGGTTTGTGTTCTTCTCTGGCAAAATATGGTACGCAGCACCATGAATTTTTGAAAAAAAAAATATTTTTTTTTGTTTGAATTTCACAAGCTTTATTGGTACCATACATTACGGTAGTCTAAGTTAACTCTCCATGAATGCATGTAAGTAGTTTGATAGCAGTTGACTTGTTTAAATGGCATGAGGAGTCATCAATGATCCACTGTCATGGAGTGTTAAACATTTTTAAGGTTCTCTTTATTTGAAAATTGATTAGGTGAGTGGACAAGATTTCACAAAAACTTGAGGAAATTTTTCTCAAGAAGTGAGTAGAAGAGAAATTAAACCTCCCAAATATTCAAAAATAGAAGCACACCATTCTTGATTTTTTGTGTTTCTCTGCTTCTTGTTCTTACTCTTATGATCTAAGAAGGCCCTAACTGATTAATAGAAAAAGAAGGCACAGAAGCCACTTGAGATGAGCTCTTGATTGCCTTTTCTCATACACCCGAATGTATATGCTTGCTACTTGCTAAAGTTAACCAGTCCTAGCCTTTTGGAGCTAACGTGCTTGATATGTGGTTAGGAATACCTGGAAAGATAAAACTTGCTAAAATATCCTTAAAATTTAATATAATCTCTATTAATTCCTTTCCCTTACATCAAATTATTCATATACAAAATGGATATATATGTTACAGGGTATTGGTTACTACATAAGACAATCTAGTTAGGTCAAAGATCACTTTAGCATGCATGCTAACAAAAGTGAGCGTTGGATTCTTCCGGGATGGTTGATGGAGGACACATGAAAGGAAAGAAGAGTGTTGTTGAGCCGATCTTTATATTAGAGGAGAAAGATAAAGAAGACTGAGAGAGAGGTTCAAGAGAGGAATCTAACAATGAAAGAGAATTTATACAACCACTCAAAATACAAAATTTTAGTGGTTTTACTTTGTAGAAACTGTCTGCTATATTGAGAGACATTCCAATATAATGAAGAAGAAAAGTACAAAGTTTCGAGCTTTTTTTAGTTAGGTGGAAAAAAATACAAGAGATGGATAATATTTTTGAACAAATAAAGTGGCTTCTTCTTAGATCAATTACAAATGCCAATTTTCTTAATAATTAATTGTAATTTATTTAATTTTTTTTTGGAATTTGAGAGGCTTGATCATATAGTGCTTCGAGGGAATTTGTAAATATTAAACATTCATTTGGAAGCTATTAAATATCCCTAAATTGAGGTCTCATTATTGCAATTAAAGATTTAGGGAGTTTCTCATGATTGAAGTGATCTGTAATAGCTTCTAAGCAAAGTTCCTTGAGGCGGCTAGCCCTTTGTGGTATTTGGAGGGAATTTTATGGTGAAATTTTGGTTATTAATTTTTGTACAGTACTTAATGTATATTTATATGTCTATTACTTCATTGAAAAATAAGTTTGATTTCTTTTAAGAGTTCACACATCGTAGGAGTTGGTTGTAGCAACCTTTGAATTGATTTGCAAAGCAATGCTAATTCAAGTTTGTGAACTCTTTATCATTTACTTTCTTATTTTTTGTTCTCCTCCATCCCCGTCATCTTTTCTGAAGCCTTGAATGACTTCACCCCTTATCAAAATAAAATTATGCCCTCTTTACAGAACTCTTAACTTCTGCTTACTTGGCAAACGAGAGCAGTTGTGCGTGATAGGTGATAAGCTGGTGGCATGGAGATAATTAAGGAGTCATGAGGAATATTAGGTTGTGCTTCATGCCATATTGAAGGGTACCATGTGTCGAGCACATCCTGAGTGTGGATGTCGTGACAATCATTGATGTGGCTATAATTGACCAATTGTAATGGCCTTAAGATCTACACATTTCTTGAGATTAATCTTTATTAGCTGAAAAATTGGCAACAGGGAGTTGGTTGGTAGATAAGCTGGCTGATAGGGTGCTTGGGTGGAGATTAGTTGGGTGTCAAAGTATTAGGAAAGGGATGGGATGAGTTGTTAAGATAGGCATGATATAACCAACCAAGAAACAAGATTGACAGGCTGGAGTTGAGCAGATGAAGGCAGGCTTGCTAGTTAGAGCAAAACGAACAAATGCAGGTTGGTTAGGCCGAATTCCTAGTTAAATCATACACCTGCCCCATTGGTTGGATTGCAGTGTTTGGTAGAATAGGACCCTAATAGTCTTGTACATTGGTCAATAGAGGAAAAAATACTACACTTTTCTCAAGAAAGTTAAGAAGAAAAAACTTCATGAAATTTTGTCCATCTATTCTTACATAGAGGAGGATTATGTTGTTTACTAGTCATAGGGCTAGTTATGATTAAAAAAAATAAGTAAAGTAGAGGAGAGGTTTATAAGCAGCTAGTCTCTATTTTCGAAGAGAACAAACCATTCACAGTCTGGAGCCATTAGTATTGTTTTTTGTTAGCTATGAAAAGTCCATTCGGAATTCGTTTGGCCATGAACAATCCCTTCGGGATGTTCTTTGGCAATGAGCATCTCATTCTTCAATGCATGTATTTGATCTTTTGATTAAGGGTTCTCTTATTAATAGAAGATTTACTCTTGGAATCTATTTCAAGGCGAGGAAATAGAGCTAATTAAGCTCTAGGTTGTATGGTTGTACCACTTGATGATGGAATGTGATAGAGCACCAAAGTGCTATTAGGTTGTGACTATCATCCTTTTCAATATTTTTTTTTTCTCTAGCTTGTCATCTCACCCAAATGCTGAATCGTTCAGATGAGACAGGATTTCTTTTGCCTTATTGTCATGCATAAATGGTCAAATTACTTGCTATTTTTTACATTTAAAAAAGACTATATCTCAATATAGGAGGTAGCTCTAATTTGGTACACTCTGTTGCCAATCTTCTTGATGATCATAAATGAATCATACCATATTAGTTTGAAATTGCAACCTTGACCTTTGAGATATCGTTGTTGAGGTGGAGCCATACTTGATCTTCTTCCTTATATTTGCCTTATGTGGATGATGATTGTTTCAGAGTTTGTAGCTTTGTTGGGATTTGATAGGTTACTTCAAATTTTTAATCTTTTAGATTCTTTTTATAGATCTTTAAGCTTTTCTGGGACTCCCATCTTCTAATTTAATTGGTAGTGTTTGTTTGATTGTGAACTCTATCAAATGGACTTTGAGGTATCCTAGACATAATATAAATAGAGCTTAGTTTGTGGAACTATGCAATGCTTGGTTTACATTTAAGGGATTCAAGAGAGCCTTTCATTTTATGTTTTTTGAAAACACAGATTGAATCAACTTAGTAGGTGCACCTCCATTCAATTGATGAATTTTGTTTTATCATCAATTTGTGGATGACAAATTGTACTCAATTTCAACATGGTATAAATAGTCGCCCACTATAACTTTCAAAAGTCATTATTGAAGTGAGAGTTTCGAGCAAATATGATGTACTTAGGGAGCCTAAAATTGACACACACATGTTAGAAGAAGAGGTGAGCTACCTTTTTTTTTTTGTTGTGTTTTGTTTCCGGACTATGAGAGTGATTATCTTTAAGAACCTTTCCACCAAAAAAACAATAAAATAAAATATAGTGATGACCCATTAAGGCATTGGCAGCATCCCTCCACTAACTCTTGTTATAAAAATATAATCTACTTCTAAACTCTCCTAAAACCTTCATAGCAATTCATTGAAACTTACCATTTTTTATCTTGTCAGATTTCAATCTACCATAGAATTTTAGTTTTGTCTCTTTCGCAAGCTCTGTTGAAAGATTAATAATCTTACTTTTCAAATTCTAGGAATTTATCCTAAAATAATAATTTATTTTGATTATTTTCCTTACACTCTTGAGATATAAATCCATAACTACTTTATGTCGTTTGGTTAACTTGTCTTATTATATTGCCCTATAATCTTTGTGAGAAAATTTTTATTTTTGTTTGTGGCTTCTATTTTTGGTAAATAATTATTTTTATCAATTTTTAAAAGTCTGTGTTCACTATTACAAGATGATATACTATTGTAAAATCAAAAACATTTTTTATCATATTTCTATCTCCTATTCCCTAACTACCATAATCTTCTTGTAAGTTTTGGAGAAGAAAAAATCATTATTCCTCTTTAATTGCATAGAAAAAGATTACAAGTTAAATAGACGATGGATGACTTCAACATTAGGAAAACAATAATATTAGTCATAACTCCCCATGATAATAGAAAGAAACAAAAATTATGACATACCAATAATCTCAATTTTAAAAATAGAAAATACTAATAATATTAGATACTAAAAATAAAATTTTTCTAAAAATCCAATACCCCCTTCAAATTGGAGCATAGATATCTATCATGTCGAACTTGCTTAAAAGAAGCTCAAAATGAGGATTGAATAGTTCTTTAGTGAAGATATCGCTTATTTGTTAAGCAGTAGGGATAAAGGAAGGACATGCAAATAGCTCCACAATCAATCTTCTATTTATGAATTGCCTGTCAATCTCCACATGCTTAGTGTGATCATGCTGTATAGGATTTCAACAACACTTATGATTGTTTTATTGTCACAGTATAATTTCATTGGCATGTTTATCGGGATCTGCTGCTCTTCAAGAATTCTCTGCAACCATAGCAACTCATACCCCATTTGCCATAGCCCTATATTATACCTCAACACTACTTAATGCAATCATAATTCGTTTCTTTCTTGGCCATGTAACTAGGTTTCCCCCCATATTGGTGCAATATCTAGAAGTTGATCTTTTGTCAGTAACCAAGCCTACCTAATCTACATCAATGTATGCCTCTTTATTTTGTTGTGCTGTCTTAGGAAATAGTAAGTCTTTATCTGGTATATTTTTTAGATAGTTGAGAATTTTGTTGACTGTTTCAAGGTGCTTCTTATATGGTGAATGCATAAATTGACTTACTAAACTCACAACAAAGGTAATATCTAGTTTTGTATGTGATAAATATATGAACTTCCAAACCAATTTTTGATACCTAATTCTATTCACGGGATCATCTTTCTTCCCATCTCCTAGTTTCTGACCAGGATCAATATTAGTGTTTTGTATGTCTATACTTACTCATCTCAGTTTCCCCGAGAAGATAAAAAAATATACTTTCGTTGGGAGATAATAATTTCTTTCTTCGATCGAGCAATTTTCCTGCCAAGAAAATACCTCAGAGTTCTTATCTTTGGTTTAAAAAATAGAAGATAGAGAATTTTTCTAACGGTTTATCTCATTTGAATCATTTCCTGTGAGAATAACATCACCCACATACATAATCAGTATGACTATTTTCCCATTATTTGATTGTCTGAAGAACATTGTATGATCTTCCCGCTCTTGAGTATAACCCATACATTTAACAAATAGTGTAAATTTTTCAATGTATATAGATAAAAGTTTATTATCCGCTCTTCTTGTAAACTGGGCAAAAGTAAGACATTGCCTTTTCCTATTTTGGGTGGTCGTGTTAATAAATGTTTTTACATTATTCATAGTGATGTTTGGAGAATTACACCATTATTTCACATGCTCAGTATAAATATTTAGTGACATTTATTGATGATTACAGTCAATTTATATGGATCTATTTTTTGCATTCTAAAACAGAAGTGTTTAACTGTGTTTTAAACCTTTGTGACATATATTAAAACTCTGTTCTCCAATTGTATTAAAATTTTACGGTCTGACAATAATAGTGAATACATGTCTCATGAGTTTCAAGTATTTTTTCATAATAAGGTTATTATTTCACAATGCTCATGTCCTTATACGCCTCAGTAAAATGGAGTTGCTGAACAAAAAAATTGACGTCTGTTGGATATGGTGTGCACATTGTTGTTAGAACCTTCTGTTCCAGCTATATTTTGGACTGAAGTTTTATCTACTGCGGTTTATCTGATTAATCTTTTACCATGTCAATAATTGAAATTTGTTGCTCCCTGCTATCGAGTTTTTGGTAAACATCCTAATTATTTTATGCTATATACTTTCAAATGTGTTTGTTTTATTCGTTTACGTGCTCATGATTGTCATAAGCTGGTAGCTCAGTCGGTTCGATGTGCTTTTATGGGTTACAGTCCTAATCATAAAGGTTTTGTGCATCATGATTCAATTAATAATCGATGACATATCTCTAGGGAGGTGATTTTCTTTGAACTTGAATACTATTTTTCAGCATCATCTTTCGACATCTAATACTGTTGTACTTCCTCACTTTGATAATTCTTCTTTCGACAAACGGTTCATGTCTGGTCTTGTCTACACACGACGCCCGCCCCCTTCATCATCAGTCATTCCCGACTCTGCTCCTGAAAATGCTTCAACAATTCTTTGACAATCAACTCAACACATTCGTCCTTCAAATAGATATGAAAATTCTGCAATTTTAACTAATACCACAGTTCCTACCTCTTATTTTCAGGCTGCTAAACTATGTAAGAGGAACTTCAGGCACTACAAGACAATCACACTTGAGATTGTTTCATTTCCTACAGATGTTAAAGCCATTGCTTGTAAATGATTTTATTATCCTAAGCTCAGATCTGATGGCTCCTTTGACAGATATAAGGCAAGATTGGTAGCTCTTAGCAATCGACATGAATACGGGATTGACTATGAATAGAACTTTGCACTTGTGGCTAAGATGATAACTGTCTAGCTTGTTCTATCTATTGTTGCATATAAAGGCTGGTTCTTATGACAGATGGATGTTAAGAATGCATTTTTGCATGATCTTAAGAAAGATATCTATATGATTCCTCCTCCAGGCCTGTTTTCTACACCCTCACATGATGTGTGTAAGCTCAAGCGCTCTCTATATGGTTTGAAACTGGCTCTACGGGTCTGGTTTGAAACGTTTCACAATACTTATCTTAATTTTTCTTTTATTTAAAGTCAGTATGATACTTCAATATTTCTTTGCAAGACTGACAAGGAAATTATTTTGTTATCAGTCTATGTTGATGATATTGTCATCACAGAATCCGATACTCAATTGATGTCTCAGTTATAAGAGCGTCTTCAGGGTTCTTTCTATATGAAAGATTTTTTATATTTAACTTATTTCTTAGGTCTTGAGGTTTACTCTTCTCCCGCTGGATTTTTTTTTTATTAGCATAACTATACTAAGGAACTCATTGTTTTGGCTTGTCTTAAGTGGGTCGTCCTATTGATACTCCTTTGGAAGTAAATGTTAAATATCAACATAATGATGGTGAATTTCTATCTGATCCATCTCTGTATCGACAACTAGTTGATAGTATCAATTATCTAACTATTACACATTCTGATATTTCATTTGTTGTGTAACAAGTTAGTCAATTTATGTAGGCACCTACATAACTTCATTTTGTTGCAGTTCGACGTATTGTTAGCTATTAGAAATGTACTTCTCATTCTGGTTTATTCTTTTATGTGGATTCTTCTATTTGCTTAATAACCTATAGTGATGTTAATTGGGCTAGTTGTTCTGATACACGTCGATCTATTACTGGTTGGTGTATGTTTCTCGACACATTTTTATTTTCTTGGAAGAGTAAGAATTAAGATAGAGTGTCTAAGTCTTGTACTAAGTCTGAATATCGTGTTATGTCCTCTGCTTGTTCTGAGATCATTTGACTTCGGGGTTTGTTGGCTAAACTTGGTTTGTTCCAACTTGAGTCTACGGGTCTGTTTGGAGTAGCTGCAACTTATTGAATAATCTGCTGATAAGCAGCTAATCCTTATAAGCTACTTATCCAGATAAGCTAGCTGGCTGTTTGGGGCAGTTGTTTGAAAACAATTGATTTGCAGTTGTTTGTAGATAAGAGTCAACATTATTACGAATCGTAAGAACAACTAGGAAAATTACTTACAAATAACCACAATTACGAGCCGCTTAGGGGAAGAGAAAGAGAAAGGAAACACATAGTCGAGAGAGACGCGTCAGACGCGTGAGAGAGGCGAAATAAGGGCGTAGAAGAGGATCGAAGACACCTTGGGCACGGGAGGGGCAAGCACGATGACGGGGGCGGGTAAGTAAAGTTTAAGTCCAAACGCTAGGCTGCGAGGTCGAGCGACCGGCGTATAATATTATTCGAGCCGTGTGTATCGCCAAACACCCGTTGAACGCGAAAACCAAACACATCACCCACGTTTTCAAAATGGAGAAGCCATGAAAACTCTGCGTCAAACGACCACTATTTCTTTTTATGCAGATAATACTAATGCTATCTAGATTACTACTAATTCTTTCTTTCAAGAGTACACGAAATACATTGAAGTGAACTGTCATTCTATTCGAGAAGCTTATGATAATTGTGTTATTTCTCTTTCTCATATCTCTTCTGATCTCCAAACGGCTGATATATTTACTAAGGCTCTCTCTAGGTAGCGTCATTAGTTTCTTGTTAGCTAATTAACGCTTCTTGATCAATCAGCATCAATTTAAGGGGGATATCAATCAAGACTGACATTAATTAAGCAACTAGAATTAGGAGTTTCCTTATTTAAATTGTTTTCAATTTTTCTCTCCTAATTTACCTCTCTTATTAATTGTACATATTCTTTTCTTATATCTGAATAAATTTAGATTAGAAATATGTATTAAAATTACCTAAAATAGATTGTACAGATTATTATTCATTGGAATGAAATCTAAGGAAAAAGTCAGGGAGCCAATTTCCTCAAAACTCGTTAATAGAGGAACCGGAAGTACTGACTGCATGGTATCCTCCATCCTTTGTTTTATAGAGGACCATAAAATTGGCCACAAGCACAATGGTCAAGCTTGATGGCATTGTTTTATAATTAAGCATTACGAATCAGAACTTTACACAGCAAAAGAAGGGAGTTGATTCTCTTACTTACGTCTCTCCACCCCTAAAATAAATTCCATCAAATCAGTAGCTCAACTAAAAATAAAATTGTAACAAGCAGAGAAGAACTTGATTTCATGCATTTTTCAAATCATCCTGAACTAATCCTTGCCCTTTTGCTGTCATTAAGGAAGATTAACAAACTTGAAGTGAACTAACATTTAAAACTTCACAATAGCATAAAAACATCTCTCACGTATGCTTCCACAAATTATATGTTCCACTATTCTTTTCATTATAAACATTTCGTTGGTATTAAACTGTCGGTCTTTATGCACATTGATTCTTTGTTTACCTAATATTAATTATTTATTGTGCAGGAACTTTACTTGTAATGAGAACTATGGTCCATTCTTTCTTTTCTCACTGAGACTTGCCTTCTCAATGCAAATTATTGGTTTTTCAGTCAGGCTTTTATCCTCAGTATTGTGGATCCAGATGTATAGATTGGGGCCAGTAATTTGGAGCCGTGTACCCGATCATGAACCATTTTATAGGAGGAGTTTGTCAAGTCCATCAACTGAGGATATGACTAGACAAAGATCTATGTCTGGCAATATCTTCGTCAGTAATCTTTGCATTGCAACTCCTCATGCACCGCCATTCGAAGATGCTCAAGATAAAGGACATGCTTCTGAGGTACAGTTCAGCACATTTATAGTAATTAATGCATTTTTTTTTCATGCATGGGCAAACATGCCAACTTTTTTTTTCTGTAAAATTCTTTGCATTATGTGCTAGTATAACATGCTCAATCATATCTACTTAATTGTCTCTTTCGACGTATGTACCAATATTTTCATCCTTGTATGAAAAAGATCTATCCTTCCTCAATACTCTTTGGCTTTGCTTTTAGCCCTTTTGCCCTCTAAAATTCAATCATTCATTTATCTATACATTGCATCCCTATCTTCTGCTTTGTTTTTTTCATTTTAAAAAAATTCACTTTAAATTGCAGTTATATTTTCAGTTATTGTTTGTGAATTAAAGGTGTGCGTATAAACTGCTTTGGGTTATGACTAGATACCCACAATATAGAAACTTTGTAACTTCAACTTTATGTTAAATTCTTTTATCAACTTTCTAAGGGCCAATTTTTACATTTTGCTCTCTTTGTTTGTTACAACATGATGGGTTTGATGAGTTTATTTATTTATTTATTTTTAAACTCTCGCACATGCCTGAATGTGCTAGACCTTAAACATAAGACAAGACTTTGTAGTCGGAGACAAAACATCTGACCACTAGGTCAAGTGGGTTGCACCATTCTACAAATAGGGTTTAGAGTTTATCTTGAAGATTGTTGATCACCTAAAAATTACTTGATTTTTGGTTCAGATCGAGCTCAGCTCACTTGAGTCTACTATTAGGATCACTCTTAATTTTTCTCTCATTTCGAGCCGTAGGTGGATTACATCTGTTAGGATCAAAATTGGATGTGTAAAATTTGCGACTATAGCCCCATAATTTTATTGATAGAAGGAGGTGTATTTAAACTTAATTACAATATACACAACAAAGGAAAGAAATAAACTAGAATAAAACAAAAAGGAAAGAAATAAAACATAATAAAACAAATAGGAAATAAATAAAACAGAATAAAACAAACAAAAAATACATGAGGGAATAAAGACAAAAAATAAGTAATAACGAAAAGAAGTAATAAGTAATAATGGCTAGGAATTTGATTACCTTTATAAATCTAATACTCTCCCTCAAATTGAAGCATAGATGTCAGTCATGTTCAACTTGGATTTGAAGTAATCAAATAATGAACGAGGAAGATTCTTGCTGAGGATATTCGCTAGTTGACCACTGAAGAGTACAAAAGATATACAAATTTCCACGGACTCAATCTCTTTCTTAATGAAGTGTCGATCTCCACATATTTGGTACGATCATGTTAGATTGGATTGTGAGCAATGTTGATGGCAGCTTTACAATCACAAAATAATTGCAGTGGAAAAGAGGTTGGCATACGAAGTTCACGAAGTATGATGCATAACCAGAGGGCTTCACAAAAGATGGTGCACTTACAGGACCAGGGACTCATCAAATGGTGCACTCACCGGAGCAGGAGACTCCTTTGTGGCAGGAACAATAGCGAGGGACATCCATATGAGTAGGATAAGGGATAATGTATAAGATCTCAAGCTTCTTTTCACTTGGGGTAGAGCTAGAAAAATAGGGAACACTTTCAAAGAAGGAGATATCAATACTCACATAGATTTTGTTATTGGTAGGATCAAGACATTGATACCCCTTTTGAGTGGCAGAGTACCAAAGTAAGATATATTTTATGAATATGGGATTAAGTTTACTCCGATTGCAGGTAGTGTTCCTAACAAAGGCAGTGCACTCAAAAATATTGGGGTATATGTGGAGAAGTCCCGATTGGCAGAGAAGCATGACATCAAGACTGCTAAGGGGGTTTAGAACTTGTGAATTTTTTAGAGGACTATTTATGAGATAGGTAACTGTGAGAATGACATCGTTACAAAACCGTATCGGGACATTAGATTGAAATATAATAGAGCGAGCAACATAAAAAATGTGATAGTTTTTCCTCTCGGCAACCCCATTTTGTTGAGTATCCGTACACAAGCTATGGTGGAGGATGACTTAATAAGACTTCACCTAAAATAGAGTTGAAAAACTCATAATCATTGTCAGTCCAAAGAACCTAAATAAGAGTTTTGAATTGAGTTAAAATGAAGGTGTAGAAGTTTTGGAAGGTGACAAAAACCTCCGATTTATCTTTTAAAATGTAGATCAACGTCATCCGAGTGTGTTTATCAATCAAAGTCCTGAACCATTTATTGGTGTAAATGAGAGTGTGAGAGGGTCCCTATAAGTCACTGTGAATGAGAGAGCAAAACGCAGAAGATATGTAAGTGTGAGGTAGATAATGGACTCGATGATGTTCGACTATCCAACATGTCTCATAATTGAAACTGGAAAAATTTTTATTAGAAAACATCAAAGGATACAAATTTTTTAAATATTGAAAACTAGAATGACCTAAACGAAAATGTAACAACATAATGAGATATTCAATGGCTCGAGATATGCTACAACTTTTGAGAGGCATGTCTTCACCTCCATGCTCTTCTCTTGAAAGTAGTAGAGTTCGACTACTTTTTTAGCAGTTCCAATCATCTTCTCCAAACGATGACTCTAAAAATACAACTATCAGAAGAGAAATTAGCAACACAATCGTCAACTTGTTGACAGATAACAAGTTACATCACAACCGAGAAACATGTAAAACAGACTTCAGAGTTAGATTAGTTGTTAGTAAAATAGACCATTTACCAGTAATGAAACTACCAGAGCCATCAGTAATTCTGATGATATCTTTTCTAGAGCATGGATGGTAACTCGAGAAAGATTGCAAGCATCCAGCCATGTGATCCGTGACACCTGAATCAATAATCCACGGACTAAAAGAGTAATAAACTGAGGGTCATAGGAAGAGTACCTTGTCGATTTGGGAGGTTGATGGACCTGTAGAGACTTGATTGACGTCAAGAGTTTTGATCAATTGTTCCATCTGATTTTTCAGGGATTTAAAGGATTCTGAGATGTTCAGGGTAGGATTTCATAGAATTGCGATATGCTCAGACATCACCCTGAGACATTTGGTAGCAGAGGATTTGACCGACGGTTTGTATGCCAACTTATTACGAAATTTCTAACACTTGTCCTGAGTGTAGTTGGGTTTGTGACAGTAATCACAAGTGGGGTGACCGGTCCGAAATGACATGGATGAGGACTTAACACTTTTTGAGATCAAGGCGAAGGATTAGGTTGAAGGGTAGGACTGGTTCCAAGAAGTTTGATCAATTGCTTCTAGAAGTTTGATCAATTGCTCCATCTGATTTTTTAGGGGTTTAGAGGATTCCATGATGTTCAAACTAGAATTTGGTTAAGTTGTGGTCAGATTCAGAGTCTTGGCTGGCTCCCAAAAGTTTAGTCAATTGCTTTATCTAGTTTTTCAGAGTTTCAAAGGATTTCGGGATATTCAGGGTAGGATTTTGTTGAGTTGTGCTAGGCTTAGTCATCTTCGTGAAACCTTTGGTAGCAGAGGATTTTGCTGAAGATTTTTATGCCGACTTACCGTGAAGTTCCAACACTTGTCTTGAGGGTTTGTTGCAGTGATCGCAAGTGGGGTGACCAGTTTGAGATGACGTGGATGAGGACTAAGCACTTTTTGAGATCAAGTTGGAGGATTAGGCTAAAGGGGTAGGAGTGTCGAACATGAAAAATCTCCTGCTTTCTTCTTGACTAATCTCAATGAAGGTTGCGCGAGCTGAAGAAAGAGGATTCCGACCAAGAATGCGATCCCGAACTTCCTCTTTGTTAAGACCCGTCATAAATTGAAAAATTAGATCCTTTTCTACAGTCTTCTAGAAGAGGAATAGATTAGCTGGAGAATCCCAAGTGTAGTCATAGTAGTAGTCGCATCTCATCCATATTGCAACAAGGTCATTAAAGTATTGGGTCACTGTCCTTGACCCTTGTTTTGCCTCCTAGATTTTCTTAGATACCTTATAGAGTTGGCCGAAATTTTCTACAATTGAGTAGGTATCTCGGACAACTGTTCAGAGGGCACAAGCTAAAGGGAGAAGATATATGAACGACCAATCAAAACCTCCATGGAGTTGATCTTCCACGACATGACCATGAAGTTCTCCACTTCTCAAGCTCCATATGTCGAATAATTCTTTGGAGGCTCATGAACCATACCTGTGAGGTGACCAAACTTCCCACGTCCCCTGATGAACAAAGACACCACTTGGAAATATTGAAGAATGTTATTGTCGTTCAGTTTATCGGTTGTGATCAAGAAGTTCATGTTGGTTTCTGATCCTCCGGTTTAGAGATAAATTGAGTCTGACGACGATCCTCCTGTGGAATCATGCACACCGTCAATAGTAGGTTTGATGATGGAGGAATCCACCATTCTTCCAACAAAGCCAAAGGTGTTGTTGGGTTTTCAAGATATAAGAAAGACTGCCAAGAGGGATGTCCAACAACTAAAAAAGCTTTTGGAACAATAGCTGGCAAAATATCAGTAAAAATTGGTTGAAAATCAATAACGGCTGAAATCAACAGTGACAAAAGCTTCGCTACAAAACAACCAATCAGTGACTTGAAGGAGCTGTAGATGCTAGGCTTAGCGGCATAAAGAAGTTGCAGAATGGAGCTGAACATAGAACTTGCTGCTAAAGGAAAATGGAAGATATCGTATGGCTGCAGGAAAACGACAGATGCTGGAAGCGATAGATAGGAAAACAACAGACTAGACAGATGCTGGAAGGTGGTTGTCGGCAGACTAAGGTGAAACCTTTGGGGCTGTCAAAAAAACTCGTTGTTCGCGAATAGTTCATGTTTGATTCGTCATTGAGTTTGTGTTCGATTGTTCGATAAGTAAACGAGACGAACGTGAATAAATATTTTTCGTTCGGTTAGTTAAACGAACCAAACACGAACAGTGATGCATTCGTTTGTGTTTGAATCCTTATTGTTCGAAATATAAAATAATTTAAAATAATTATATATAAAAAATTTATGATATTTAAAAAAAATAAATTTTAAAAATTATAATATATAATAAATTAATAATAATAATAATATATTAATATACTATATTAGTA